AGAGCTCCTGTGTCTGAGGAGCCACATAGTTCATGAGGAAGGCTGAGGAGGTATTCTGTGGCAGAGTCTGGACCCCCAGTACATTCGTAGCTGAGACAGCATTCACAAAGACCTCATGACATGGTCAGGAGAACACACTAGCTGGGCCAGAGGGAGGGCTCACCGGGTCTTTTTGTGCTATGGGGCAGCTTCTTAGGAGACTGTTGGGTAATATTTCACATTGGAGAGAGCTCAGCACAGAATCCAGACACTTGAATCTTATTTTATCTCACAATCAGTGCTTTGCAGCTGTCACCCTGCATAGGCTTTTATCTGGTTACCTGGAGGTGAGTACCAGACCTGTGGTGACTATTTATGGTGATTTTTGGAAACAGGGCGCATGTGTCTCCATGCAGACAGAAGGAAGGAGAGAACATGAGCCAGCAGGTAGTGGGGATTAGCAACAACGAAGTCTTATTACTCAATGACAGAACAGGGCTGCCTGCATTTCTGGGAGATAATTCTTTGTAAACTATGATGTCAGAAAGATAAGTCCAGCTAGTTTAATAATTTAAAATAGAAATAAAGGAGATTAAATGATTTTGTTAAGGAGAAAGCTCATGCCCTAGCTAATTATTTGGGCCTCTATCTGTAACCAAACACAGGTCCGGCTACCTGCCTCTACGAAACTCAATACTCAAGAGACAGGTGCTGATGTAAAGGAAAGTCATTTATTCTCAGGGGCCGACAACCTGGAAGATGGGGGGGCTCATGTCACAAAACCCATTTCCTCTTCTCAGGGGAGGCAGGGGTTTTTATATGGAGGGAGAGGGGAGTAGATCAAAGAGATCAAGGGGTGGGGGGACTTGAAAAGTTCTCTAGATACAGATTAGCACAGCCCATTCCAATAAGGCAAGTGATGGTTTGGTGTGCTTCATCCTGGTTTAGTCATCCTGGCTTCATACCATCCTGGATCCGTGGTTGAAGCTCAGCAAATCTCTTAGAGCTGAGATGTTTGAAGGTTAGGGTCTATATCTTTTGAAGTTAGTTCCTAGGATTCTTATATAAACATGCTGTTTTTATCTACAAGCTACAGATTACTCAGAGTCAGCACTTACAGAAGCAATGTCAAAAGAATGGTGGGGTGGGTTACAATTTCTTACCATTTCAATTTTCCTCAGTTACATGCTTTTCCAGCAGAGCAATTCCCTGGAATATCTGGTTAGTTCTTGCTGGCCAGCTGCGGCTATAGAGGCAGCATAGAAAGATGACAGGGAGGGAAAAGAAGCTCTCAGTACCTTTTCACAAGGAGGGGTAAGTCACTCCATCCTAGCGATGTGAACTAAAGCTCTCATGTCCTCCCCTAAGGTCTAGGACTTTTGGTTTTCATCAACTGGATGATACAAATGGCCAGTAAGGAGTGGGTACCCACTGAGCCGTTACTCCTTTATTCCCATGTGTGAATGAGCCTGTGAGAACCACTACTGAGAATACGATAAGACAGCAGGAAGTGGAGAGAGAACATTGGACACGGGTTGGGGAAATAATAGAAAGATGACCACCGTGCTGAAGATGAACTCCACCTAGTTTTGCTGCGTATAGATCTTTTTTGTAAACCTCAGGAGGCAAGAAAGTCACCTCCCCCCACCCCCCTCCCCGCTGCCGCCCAACCTATAGATTGGCAGTCTCTTTTATTTTCTAATTGAGGTGGTTACCAAGTATCAAATGCCTGGATGGGATGCCAGACCTTGTCAGATTCTTTCTAATACCATTTATTTATATAATACTGCCAGCTCATGGGAGGAAGTCCCTAATATTGGCTGCTGTTCTAGAAATTGGTCAGCAGTCTACTCCATACCCTCCCCCATTCCTGCCTGGCTTTTGAGCCCTCATCTCCTTGGAGTCAGAGTACCTCTGGGTGGGGGGCAACTTCCAACCTGGCTTCTGCTTCCTTTAGGATTGGGAAGGAGGACCCCTGGGGTAGTTTGTCAGGCCTCTTGCTCTCCCTGCAATCTCCCCAAATGTCCTGTTATCTTCCTGTGCCTCTGGAAGGCTATATCCAGCCCTTACACCCTTTGACACCCTTACAAGAGCGGTGTCAAACTCATTTTTACTGGGGGCCACATCAGCCTTGAGGTTGCCTTCAAAGGGCTGAATGTAATTTTAGGACTGAATGTAATTTTATGCTTAGTATAAATGTAACTGCTCCTTAACAGTTAAGTCAGAGCTCAGTACTGCCACTGGGTAGAAACAAGGTGCTGGGCTGGATAAAACAAGGTGGAGGGCCGGATTCAGCCCACATGCCTTGCGTTTGCCACCTGTGCCTTATAGCCTATGGCCCTGTAGACCCTGCTTTGCTGGGACCCTGGAATAGCCTCCTAATCTCCATCCCACATCTGCCCCTTACAGTCCATTCTCCATGAAGCAGCCAGAGTGATATTTTTAAAACCTAAATGAAAGCATGCCACCCTCCTGGCTCAAATCTCAATAATTTCACACTTGGAATAAATGCCAGTCTCCTTAAAATAACCTGGAGGCCCTCGCCTGCATAATCTGCCTCCCACTTCCCTTTCCCTTTTGTGTGGCCCCTTTCCCGACCCAGCACTCCATCTAGGCTTCCTGTTTGTCCTCAAGGGTACCCAGCTGATTTCTGCCTCAGGAGTTTGTGCAGGACTGTTACTCTGCTGGGAATATTCTCCTCTCCTTTCCCTCGCTCCTGACTTTTTCTAAGACTGATTCATTTTCATCCTTCAAGTCCTAGCTTAAATGTCACTTCCTAAGAGAACTTTTTGACCACTCATGTCTCAAATACTTGTCATTGACACAATTTGTAACTATAGAATTGCTTGTTCGTTTACTGGCTTATTCGTTAATCTGTTCTTTTGTCTGAGTTGTTCGCCACTGCATCCCCAACTTGGCATACTTCAGGGCCTCGTATCAGTCAGAGCAGGCTGAGCTCTGTGGCTGTTACAAACAACTTCCAAATCTTAGTTCCTTAAAACCACAAAGGTTTGTGTCTCAGTCATGCTAAAAGTCCATCACAGGCTGGGGGTGTTGGGGATGTTGGTGAGTGCTCATTGAGTACTGGTAGAGTGGCCACACACCCAAACATTCCCAGGGGCCATACCACAGAGAGGAGAGCTCTGGAGGTCTTGCACTGGCAAATAAATTCTCCAGTCCAAAAATAATTTATGTGTCACTTCCACTCACAAGTCATTGGTTAGATCTAGTCACATGGCCTCACCCAATAATAGGGAGCTAGGAAGTTCAGCCCTTCCCAGTGCCCGTGACCCTGTTCCTCAAACTACTCATTTTGCTTGGAGAGGCTGCTACAGACTCTCCCATCTAAACTTGGATTTGATCAAACGGTACCACCACAAGTACATTCCACAAGGCTTTGCAGTGTTGGTTGCACTATGATGGCATTGCACACTCCCAGATACAATGGGCCTTGGAAGGAAATGATGCCCCTATGTTGGTTATAACACCCTAGAGTATGCATCGTGGGTTCTGGTGGCAATCACAATTTAAGCTAACATTTGTTGAGTACTCAACACGTTCCTAGCACTGCACTGAGAGCTTTACATGTAATATCATCTAACACCTACAGTGTGGAGATGCTTTTCCTATTGGGCAGCTGAGGAAACTGAGGACCACAGAAATTAAGTAAGTTCCTAATTAAGTAATTGCTAGTTATACTGTAGGGTCCTTCTTTGAACTTATCTTTCCTGATTCTAAACTTGTGCACTTAATTGTTACTCCATAGGAAAAGGTTTGGGTCTGATAATCCCAGAGAGCTTCTTTCTTGAGAAGTCTCCTACCCCTTCTCCCTTATAGTACCTAGCAGAGTTTCTGTCATATAATTAGCACGGAATAGAAGTCTTTAAAGTATAGGGAAAGGGTAAAAATAGAATCCTTAAGATAGTAGACTGACACTAGGATATTCTTCTGGTTACATGCTTTTTGTTCAGCCTGTTACTTAAGACTAAGGTAAAGCTTGCGTGCTTTTTGACAGCTGTAGGTGGAGGGCCTGGATCTGTTCCTTGCTTCTACCTAACAATCTAACCAAGGTATCAAGCCTCTCATGTAATACATGTGTATCCTTATGTATTATTATCAACAAAGAAGGAATTACATAGTGCTAGCTGCAGTGGATATCAAACTGAACAAGAACTATTTTCCTTCGTCAGAGATTAGAGACAGATACTTAAACAATGAACTGGAATACAGTGTGTTGTGCCATGAGGTTTGTGTAAGGGTCAGTAGGGCCACAGATCCTGCGGAGGCGGTGAGGGGTAGGATTCAGCTCTAGGAAGGGGAGGTTAGTTGGGACAATCAACCCGAGGTGAAGCCCTATTTGGATAGAAAATTACAAGCTCGGGGCTTTGGAGAGCGATGATAGATAGGGGCAGGCTGTGGGAAAAAGCTGTGGGCCTGGAGCTTTTCCACTGCACTTCCTGCCTCAAGGCTATGGCTGGAGCTAGGACTCTTGACCTTGTGACCTTGGTGAAGTATAGCCAGTAACTCCTCGGACGTCATTAGCCTAGAGTCTTGGCGCCATGCTAAGTTCCCTCCTCAGGTGACTCCAGCGTCCGGACAGGCACCTGGACCCTTTGGTACTTGCGCGCCGCAACGTTAATTTTCCGCCTCAGGTCTGCCCTTCCCTTTTGCTTTCCACTAGTTTGGCCTCGCCCTTACCTAAAACCACTACCGGAGCGCCCTTCATCCATCCACACCCAAACTACCCTCAGACTCCACCAACGCAGCATCCGTCCCGAGCTACGCGGCCCGTGGCCGAGATGGGGAAGCGGAGGTGGGCGGGGCAGGCTTGCCGAGCCCGTCTGCCCCCCAACCCCCCACGCTGGAGATCGCTTGTCATTGGCGAAAAGTACCCCCAGCCTCCTGAGGCTTGGAAGCTCCGCTTCAGATTGGCTACTAGGTGCTCAGTGGGCATGGCCTCCGGGGAGTGAGAACGGAAGGGAGGGCGCGCGCTCGAGAGGCGGGGTTGCCTAGGCGACGCCGGGGGCGCGCTCAGGGGGTGGGGAAGCGATCCCCTGCTGCTCAATGACAAATTGGCTGGAGGCTGCTGGGGACTGCTGGGGTCCGGCCGCGGGAGAAGGCGTGAGGGACCGCGGGGCGTGTTTAAGAGCGGCTCGCGGACTGCGGACAGCTGAGGCGGCGCGGGACCGGGCCTAGGTGAGAGAGTCCGGGCCTGGCAGGACCCTCAGGGGCGGGCTGGGGAGCGGGCTGGGGAAGTGGGGTTGGCCCTCCGGCGCTCTCCAGGCAGGGTGGTGACCAGCCGTCGGACACGTCGCGCCCGGAGGCCGCCGGGGGGCGACGCGGGAGCAGCGACCCGGGGAGGTCCCCTGGAGAAAGCCTCGGGGCCTCCTAGATCGGTCTGAAGCTGAGGAAATGCGGGCGGCGCCCCAGCCTCTCCCTTTTCTCCGCTCCTTCCCTTTTCCCACAAATGGCCTCTGCTTCCACTTCCTGCCCTTTCGGGCCTCCAGCCCGAGGAAGGTCCACTTCCTCAGTGCTTTAGTTGCGGCTAAAGAGTTACAGGAACTTGTAAGTACCTTAAGATCTTGTGCTTGGACTGAGCAGGGCCATGTTCCAAAAGTTGTTCTGTTTTTGGTCTTGTCTTGCAAATGAGCATAAAGTTGCTCCCGCCCCCTTAGTTTCTTTCTGATAGGGGCTGGCACGGAATGTGGCTTCTAATAGGAAGAAGCACAATGGACTTGAACTAGTCCTGCCAGGACTAGGCTTCAACACCTCTCTTCTTGCCCTCTTAAGGTAAATAACTTTATTCATGGTTGGTTCAGAACTGGTAGTGGCAGAAATAGCTGCGGCCAGGCAGCTCGTTTGAGGTGTCCTGTCTGTGCTCATTTTCAGGAGCATACTGGAAACGTTGTAACTTTGATGTTGTTATCAGGTGAGTCTTCTGGGGGAGAAGTTCTTGTGTTTGATGGACTGATTTAGAATTGCCAGTGAAAGAGGCTTGGCTGATTATTCATTTCAGTTATCTGTGCCTTGATTGCAACCGTTCTAAGAACAGTGAACTTTCTGCTTTGTCCTACTTTTTCTACTGTTGGTCAAGTTTTGGGGATGGATAATGGGCATTGATTATCAGAAGGGACAGCCCATCTTTTAGATATGTAAATATTTTAAGCAAAGCAACAAGATTCTTGGCTGGCAAAGCTTGAAGGTTAAGGCAATATTTCTTAAACCTGCAGCAAAATAATTAGAATATCCAGAAATGGGATGACTGTGAATGGTAGCTTTGAATATTGGGAAGAATCCTGGGAGGGCAGAGTGTGAAGACCTAGGTTTGCTGATGGTTCCGAAACTTTATTGGTGATGTGATTTTGAGTATGGCTTTCCCTTCTCTGTGCTGCAGTCTACAGCTGTAGAAAGATGATAATATATTTTTTAAAAATGTGATAATAGTTATCCTACTTGTAAGAGATTAAACAAAGTAGGGTACTTTTAAGGTGTTCATTGTGGTAGTGGGGGTGGGATTGAGATGGGGTGGGAATAAGGCTCAGGATATCCATCTCCTGTGTGTGGTTTTAATCCAGTCAGCTAGTGTCCTCTTCTCTGACCACAACTGGGTGTTCCCTTCCTTTTCCCTTTCCTTTATTTCTCATTGGAAAGCTGGGTTCTCTTATTTGAGATCTCAGCAAAATTTCCCTGCACCTGAGGAGTAGAAGCTTTCCCAGGATTTTGTGTGGAAAAAAGTGGCGATATATTACATCTCTTTTGGGAATATGGGACCTACACACATGAATATTGGAAAACGAGACTTAGAGGCTCATATGGGATCTAAACAGATCTTGGTAGAAGGTGGAAGAAGTGGGAAAGTTTTAAATTCCTGCGTTAGCTGAAGATGGTTTGAGACTGGAAATTTTTAATCCAGAGTTGAGATAATCCTTTGCCATATCACCCAGTCCCACAATACCTCTTTGCATTCAGTTTCTAAATTTTTATCCAGTCATTGGACTTGGAAACATCATTGGAAACCTTTTCTGAAAGCTAAATTTGGAATCAGTATAGCAACCTTGAACTATAGTGTCAGAAGAAATCTTGGTGAACTCTTCTAACATTTCCACTGTATTTGTCCCAAGATGTGCAAGAGTCCTACTTTTCATTGGCTACAAGTACTTCTAAACAAATAGCCCCAGTGCTCACATATGCAGGACACCTGGATTTTTTTTTTTTTTAAGTGAATTCATGTGGCTGAGGATAAGTCTGAATCAGAGAGCCAGAGTACCAGAGAAAATGGAGCTCACATGGAGGATGGTGGGGTGGGAAAGGAGGAGGAGGGCAACTAATGTTTACTGTGTATCAGCTATCTGCTTGTTACAGACTCACTGATCTCACCAACACCAGATAAATATCTGGCCTTGGAGATAATATTTGACCTTGAGTAGTCTTCTTTAGCTCCTCAGTTCTTTTGGTACCTACAAAAACAAGTATGGGTGTATATGTGTACATATTCTTAGATATTTCAACAGTAGAGGGGCCAGTAGGCCAGAGGATGTACGAGCTTTTGGAGGAGTGAGAGTGGAAAGAAAGATGAAGAGAGTGTGGAAGCTGAGTATCAAAACCCTGAAGTATGTAGTTACTGTGGCCAACTACAAAATGCCAGCCAGGTCTCAATTTCAAGTGTATGTTACTTTTAAAGAAAGTAACTGCTTACACAGAACTGACTGTTCTCTGTTATGGTTGTAGATGAACCTTTAGGGATTTTTTTTTTTAATTTTCATTTTTATTTTTTAACATATTTTATTGATTATGCCATTACAATTGTCCCATTTCCCCCTTCATTTCCTTCTACCCTGTACGCCCCCTTCCCCCTATTCCCCCCTTTAGTTCATGTCCATGTGTCACAAGTTCTTTAGCTTCTACATTTCCCATGTTATTCTTGCCCTCTCCCTATTTTCTACCTATTCTGTATGCTATTTATTCTCTGTACCTTGTGCCCCCTTCTCCTCCTCCCACTCCCCTGTTGTAACCCTCCTGTGATCTCCATTTCTATGGTTCTGCTCCTGATCTAGCTGTCCTCTTAGTTTGCTTTTGTTTTAGGTATGGCTCTCAATAACTGTGAGTTTGCTGTCCTTTCACTGTTCATATTTTTTATCTTCTTTTTCTTAGGTAAGTCCCTTTAACATTTCATATAATAAGGGCTTGGTGATGATGAACTCCTTGAATTTGATCTTATCTGAGAAGAACTTTATCTGTCCTTCCATTCTAAATGAAAGTTTTGCTGGATAGATCAATCTTGGATTTCATGACTTGGAATACTTCTTTCCAGCCCTTTCTTGCCTGTAAGGTCTCTTTTGAGAAATCCACTGACAGTCTGAGGGGAACTCCTTTGTAGGTGACTGTCCCCTTATCTCTTGCTGTTTCTAGGATTCTCTCCTTCATTTGAATCTTGGCTAATGTAATGATGATGTGCCTTGGTGTGTTCCTTCTTGGGTCCACCTTTGGGATTTTTTTTTGCTCTTTAGAAATTGAAGTATAAATGCAGAAGAAGGTGCTATTAATTATAATTGTAATATATCATTGTCATCATTGCTTTTGTCATTGGTTTGTGGGCAATTTATATATAGCATCTTTTGAGTCCACTAGATTAGGGATTGACGTAGAAACTACTAAATTAGGTCAGACTCAAAATAGTCCAAGTTACATACTTTTACTTAGCATACCACATGAGTTAAAAGAAATATAGTAGTTTGGTCCTTTAACGTTTATTTATCTTTTGAATGAATTTTCTACTTCTGTGTAATAAATCAAGCCAAACCTGGCCACTTAAAACAACAGACATTTGTTATCTCAGTTCTCAGTTATATCTACAGTTTCTGAAGTTCAGGAATCTGGGAGAAGCTTGGTTGGGTGTTTCTGGCTCAGGGTCTCTCCTGAGGTTGGAGCCATCTGAAGGTGTGACCGGGGCTGGAGAACCTGCTTCCAAGACGGCACACTCACATGGCTCATGGCCAGAGGCCCGAGTTCGTCACTGTGTGGGCTTCTCCATAGGACTCTGCGACATGGCAGCTTTTCCCCAGAGCGAGTGATCTGAGAGAGACAGAGAGAAACAGAAAGAGAAAGACAGAGGTTGGTCAAGATAGAAACTGCAGCATCTTCATATCTAATCTTGAAAGTGACATATCATCACTTTCACCAGCACATAGACCAGACCTGGTGCAGTGTGGGAGGGAGGGACTGACCACACAAGGGGGGCCCTGAGGATCACTGGCATTTTGGATGCCAGCTCCCACAATTTCTTCTTTCAGGTTTGACCTTACATTATTGAGAAAAATCTTTGTTTCATATGCTTACTAAAGTATGTACTATAGGAGGTTAAAATATAGGTAGAGTTTTTACTGTTCTAGAAACTTTTAATATTTTACTTTCTTCTGGTTCTTCATGGTCATGCTAGAATTAATTAGCCAAATACGGAAGTTAGAATTCTAAATCTTGCTGGCCCCTGAACCAAATGTAATAGCCAAGTTTTTTTAATCCTAAAACAAATTGATAAAAAATTATTGCCAAAATGATCTCCTTGATGAATAGCTTAAAATTAATCATTAATCATCTGTGTATTTTCAAAAATAAAACTCACTGGCAAAGTAACTGAAAAAATATTGGTGAAGTGAAATCAAAGCCCCCTGCCCCCAGTTATTTTAAATCTTTGGACAATATTTCTTCACTCAGCAATTCTTCATTTCTCTTTTGAAACCCAGATACATTTTAATTAGATCTGGATTGAAGGGCTCTTTTCTTTTAGCTTCTCAGTGAAACCTTTCTGAGGCGTCTGTAGGTAGACAGGAAAGTTAAGGAGTCCTGAGCTTGAAAGCCTGATGAAATGACTTCTGATTTTCCTCTCATCTTTAAACATTCTAATATTTTCATGTAACAAAACCCTTTGAATCCAGTATATTTATAACAAGAGAGTTCACAAATCATGTTAAATTATAACTTCGGATAATGAAGTCTTCTGAGAATCACTTTTTGTTCCTCCTGACGCAGTTGAAGATGCTTCGAGTAACCATTAGGCAGCCTGGGAAGTCGGCACAGTTTGATTTCCTTACTTCTGAGATATTTGGCCCTTTCCCTATTCACTGCCCTAATTTGTGAGCTAGAAAAGAAAGAACTTACCTTTCTTTTCTTTCATCCTAAGTCTCCCATCCTCCTCCTCC